CAATAATGGTTTGTGGTCGGTAATCAAAGAAAATGTCCTACCGTATAAGTATTTGTGGAAACGTTTCACCCCCAAGATGGCTGCCAAGGTTTCCCTGTCCAGTTGGCTGTAGTTTCTTTCGGTTTTAGATAATGTCTTGGAATAAAAGGCAATTGGTGCTTCTCTGCCGTCTGGTAGTGTGTGGCTGAGTATTGCGCCTATTCCGAAGGGCGAAGCGTCGCAGGTGACAGTTAGAGGTAGCGTGTTGCTGTATTGAATCAATACTGATTTTGATGTGATTAAGTCTTTAATTTTTCGGAATGCTGTTTCTTCTTGGTGGCCCCATTTCCAGTTGGCTTTTTTATCGAGGAGTCTATGCAGTGGTTCTGCTACTGTTGCCTTCTGTGGCAGAAAGACATGATAAAAATTAATGAGACCCAAAAAAGCCTGTAAGTCCGTTTTGTTTTTGGGTCTGGGGGCTTCCTTAATCGCTCGTATTTTTTTTGTGTGGGGTGGATTCCTGCTTCATCAATAAGGTATCCCAGGAATTCGACCTGGTTTGTGGCAAGTTGGCATTTTTCTTTTTTGACTTTGAGTCCTGCTTCTCTACATTTTGTCAGAACTGCCCTTAAACGGTCTTTTAGTTGTTTTTTGTTTTCAGCAGATATTAATACGTCATCGAAATAGGGCACCACCCCTTTTAGTCCTTGTAGAAGGCGTTCCATTAGGCTCTGGAAAACGCCAGGGGCCACGTTTACGCCGAATTGTAATCTATTGCATTTAAATGCTCCTCTGTGCGTTACGATGGTTTGTGCCTCGGCTGTTTCAGGATCAACGGGTAATTGTTGATATGCCTGCGCGAGGTCGAGTTTTGCAAAAATCCTGCCTCTTCCCAATGAATGCAACAGGTGTTGGACTACTGGAACGGGGTATGCGCTCTGTTGCAATGCGTGGTTTAGGGTGGCCTTATAGTCACCACAGATGCGCACGGACCCGTCAGGTTTTATAGGGGTCACAATTGGGGTCTCCCATCTGGCGTGGTCAGTTGGCTCTAGTACCCCCTGAGCGATTAGTTTGTTTAGTTGTTCGTCAATTTTAGGTCTTAGTGCAAATGGTACCCGTCTGGCTTTCAGCCTAACTGGAGCTACGTTCGGGTTTAAGTTAAACGATATAGGGGTCCCACGGTACTTGCCTAAGGTCCCGTCGAATACGTCATGGAATTCTTCTATCAGGTCTTTTTCCCAGTCAGTCATGGTGGTGGTGTTGATTCCTGTCACCTCGATCCCGAGCGGTTCGAACCATTCCAACCCGAGCAGGCTGGGGCGATCTCTGTCAACAATGGTTAATGGCAGGATCTTAAAAGTGTGCCTTTTAAAATTTACTTTGAAGTGTCCTAGCCCTACTACCGGTATTTTGTTACCCTGGTAGTCCTTGATGATCAGGCTTTGCTTCTCAAGTTCTCAGTGTTGTATATCGGGAATTAAGCTTTTTATTGTGTTCCATGACACCATTGATAAATACGAACCGGAGTCTACTTCCATCTCGCACGGCTCGCCTTCAATCAGGACGTTGATTCGAGCCTTCTTAGTGTTTGTTGTTCTGGCTATCCCAATTGTGATAGTTTGATGCGTTTCTTCCTTTTCATTTTGCCGTTGACTTTTTCCGTCACGGTTCCAACGGCTTCCGGTTGTCCTTTCTTTGTTTCTGGGGGGGGGGGGGGGGGGTACTGCCTTGTCCCCTTGAACTATAGCTCTTTTTGTTTCGGCATACCCTTGCGATGTGCCCCCGTTTCTCACAATGCCGGCATGTGGCATCCAGGAATCGACACTCAGATCTCGGGTGGTTTCCGCCACAACCCGCACACTGGAACTCGGATCTTCTGCTTCGTCTCTCTGTCCGGTTCCTTTCTGAGTAGAGTCTGTTCACTTCCTCGTCTTCGTCATCTGAATCGGTTGATGATTCGGTGTCCTCATGGTGAGAGGTCGTGGCAGCGTGCTTTTGGGTTCCCTGTCTTTTTCTCTTTGTTCATGCCCGGGCTGCCCGTTGTGTTCATCTGCTTCATTTTTGCTGCAGATTTCTTTGCGGCTTCAGCGGCAGTTGCTTCAGTAATGGCTTCGTTCACGGTGATGTTTGGTTGGTTTAGTAGTTTGCTCTGTAAGGTTGCGTCTCTTAGTCCAAGGACTATGCGATCCCTCATGGCTTCGTCCATGTTGAGGAATTTGCATGCCCCCCCAATGTCTCTTAAGGCTGCTACGAAGTCTCCAATGCTCCCGCCTTCTAGTTGGTCGCTGTTAGGGATATACACCCTAGCAGAACGTGCAACAGTAGTCAGGCAGGCAGGCAGATATGTGAGATAAACGTTATTGTAGTTTACACTCAGTAAAACAGATACAATGTGCTAGTTAAATAGTTTATTCCAGTAAGATTGTTATAGCATAGTCAAACAGTCCATATATCATACACTTAGTTCAGTCCGTCCGGGGATTATCCATTAGCAAAGTCCAGTGTCGAAAAGAGGTCAGTAAACTCACAAATAATCAGTCCAGTAATATATCTCTTTTTGCAGTAGAGATATGAAGAAAATCAAACCTCTTTTCTTCGTTCAGCAATAGTAGGGAAAAAACGCAGTTATCACCATCAATCCATCATTGTCAGCAATCCAGTAAAAGCCAGCAAACAGTGAGCTCTCTTGCTCCCTCTTATGGTGGTTTTACAACCGCACCCAAAATACATGGTCTGCATTTAAAGTGACACACACAATCATAGTCTATATATATTATTTTACCCAAACTAAGTTAGGTAACCATGTTATCCCTAACAGTCGCACTTGTAAAACTCGTGCCTTCTAATCAGGTTGGATACGGCCGGTGCGTAATGGTTCCTCAACATCCGATTCAGGTCTGGCCATGCCATCTGTTTAACGTCATTTGGTCTTGCTAATGCCTTGGCCATTTTAAAAACAGTCGGACCGCAATGCGTTAGGAATACGGCTCTCTTCCTTTGGTCGGTGATTCCTTGCAGCTCGTTGCTTTCTAAAAACATCAGGAATCTGTCAATGTATGACTCCGTCTTCTTCGGCTGGGTTGAACGGTGCAGGTGGCGAATTGTTGCCGGCCATCTTGTTGGTCCTTCGGCTGTCGTTGCCACGTGCTTACGGTCTTTGTCTCTTTAATCCCACCTTCGTCGCCAGTGTTCTGTCGCCAGTAAAGAGACTCGCAGACAGGAGTTGAATTCAGCTCTTTAATAACAATCAGTAAGTTCAACTGCAGCAGCCCTTTTTATAGCGGCTGCTCCGCGGCTCGCAACCAATGACATTTAGTTAAACTTCCCGCCGCTATAGGCGGCCAATCAGATACTAACGTTACTAACCAATCGTATCGTTGCTTCTGCTAACCAATAGGAACATCGCCCTAGAAGTCTCTATTTAAATACACTACAAGAACGTTCTCCACAGCGTCTCCAGACCCTGTCACGTCTGTCACATGTGCTCAGTGTGAACCTGCTTTCATCTGTGAAGAGCACAGGGCGCCAGTGGCGAATTAGCCAATCTTGGTGTTCTCTGGCAAATGCCAAACATCCTGCACGGTGTTGGGCTGTAAGCACAACCCCCACCTGTGGACGTCGGGCCCTCATACCACCCTCATGGAGTCTGTTTCTGACCGTTTGAGCAGCCACATGCACATTTGTGGCCCGCTGGAGGTCATTTTGCAGGGCTCTGGCAGTGCTCCTCCTCTCCCTCCTTGCAGAAAGGCGGAGGTAGCGGTCCTGATGCTGGGTTGTTGCCCTCCTACAGCCTCCTCCACGTCTCCTGATGTACTGGCCTGTCTCCTGGCAGTGCCTCCATGCTCTGGACACTACGCTGACAGACACAGCAAACCTTCTTGCCACAGCTCACATTGATATCTTCAGTCTGACTTAAGCATGGTATATAAAATCATACATTGCAATGTCCTACCTGTCAATGAATACTTCAGCTTCAACCATAACAACACAAGAGCACACAATAGATACAAACTCAAAGTTAACCGCACCAAACTTGATTGCAGGAAATACGACTTCAGCAATAGAGTGGTCAATGTCTGGAATACTCTACCCGACTCTGTAGTTTCTTCCCCAAACCCCAAAAACTTTAACCTTAGACTGTCTACTATTGACCTCACCCCTTTCCTAAGAGGTCTGTAGGGGGCGTGCATAAGCGCACCAACGTGCCTACCGTCCCTGTCCTATTGTTTCTCTTATTCTTTTATTTTTCTTATATGTACCCATTTCATGTATTCACAACTATGTATACACTTATACTTATTATCTTGTAAACAATTGGCAAATCAAATAAATAAATAAAAAATAAAAATAAATGTGCCATCCTGGATGAGCTGCACTACCTGAGCCACTTGTGTGAGTTGTAGACTCAGTCTCATGCTACCACTAGAGTGAAAGCCCCACCAGCATTCAAAAGTGACCAAACCATCATCCAGAAAGCATAGGAACTGAGAAGTAGTCTGTGGTCACCACCTGCAAAACCACTCCTTTATTGGGGATGTCTTGCTTTCCACCTGTTGTCTATTCCATTTGCACAACAGCATGTGAAATTAATTGTCAATCAGTGTTGCTACCTAAGTAGACAGTTTGATTTCACAGAAGTGTGATTGACTTGGAGTTACATTGTTTAAGTGTTCCCTTTATTTTTTTGAGCAGTGTACTTTAAAGGCCAGAAGGAAGGCTAGCAGCTCGCACACATTTGCACCGCCACCGACCCTCTTTGACAATGCTAAGCGGGCTCCAAGGCTTTCTGCTCTGCACGCGCGCCCCCAACTCGCGCACTCCACTTTCCAAAAAATAATAATAAAAAGGAGGAATGCGAGCGGGAAGACCTTCAAGCTCTCGCGACGAGTCAGAACCCCGGGGGGGGGGGGGGGAGGTAAGTGGGCAAGCGCGTGGGGCTCTGGGAAACGAGGCAGGCGGAGGGAAAGGAATAAAATTCGTAGAGGCCTGTGGGTGCGAGGCAGGGGATGAAGAAATTTCCGGTTCCGGCTGGGCCTGTGTGAGTTGCAGCCTGGTAGTGCCCCCGCCCCCACCCGTGAGGGAGCAGAAACGCCCCCCGCGTATCCTGGCGGTAAAGGAAGGGCCAGGGGGCATCCCCCACTCTGATCTTGCTATCCAAGGACCAGCCTTTGCCTGGGGTGCGGAGGAGGCTGGGGCAACGCCACACATCGGTGAGTGCCACCATGGAGCCCACTCTTGCCCCTCGATTCCCTCTCACCTCCGTATCTGATCCTGAAGGCGAGATAAACCCTCGCACAGATGATAACCGCAGCGCGCGCCTTTGGTTAACTTCTTCTCCCTTTGAACAGCCCCACCCCGGCTATTCTGCGATCCTGACTCACCTCCCCCTCGAACACACGTTGCTTTCCAGTCTAGCGCCCTTTTCCCGTCTTCCTGTTGCTCCGTCCTTGCATCTTAAGAATTGGCCCCCTTTGTTGTTGTTTCTCCCCACCGATCCCGCGAAAGTTGTGTTATAATCCTTTATCTTGACTTGTGCCCCTAGATCAACCCCGAATTCTGCTGCCTCATAAGCTCAATAAACTACTGTCCTCCCATTTCATCCTTAAGCCACCCAGAGTCATGTAAGGGCGGTCTGCCGTAGACATCGAAAAGATAGCCAGATTATTCCACAATGGAAGCACTTAACTACCCGAACACTTTTAACATGGGAAATATTGTAAGATACAAGGATATTTTAAATGAAAGAGGTGAGCTTAAAACCAAACAAGAATTGGGCGAACAAGGGATAGATATTATACTCATTCTTGCAAATACAGGTGAGATATGAAAAAGATGTTAAAGCATATGGCTCATACAAAGAATTGACAAAATTAGATAAGATACCAACAGGAACAGAAGAAAGGTTTGATAAAAAATACCTGTACACCTATTAGGCATTAAACTAGAAGAGGAACAAGTGAAGGAGACAATGATAGCATGGGCAAAGAATTTTAGTTATACAACAGCACTTGATGACTGGCAGAAACTATGGGATAGAAATTATAAGGTAACAATGTCAACTGCATACAAAGAGAATTTATACAAAGTGTTTTATAGATGGCATGCGCCAGCGAGGTTGGCGAAGTTTAAAGATAAATCAGCAAAATGTTGGAAATGCCACCAAACACCTGGCACATACTACCACATGTGGTGGACATGTGATGAAGCTACAAAATGTTGGACAAAAGTATGCTCATGGTTGGAAGAGATGATACAACAACATACTGATTTAAAACCAGAAATATTCCTGTTGGGGATCTTACCTGAAACTTATAGCAAAGAAAATGTATATTTGATTATTCATGTGATAACTGCAGCGAGAATGGTATTTGCTCAAAATTGGAAAAAGGAACAGACTCCTACTGAAGAAAATGTGATTAGGAAAATATTAGAATGTTCAGAAATGAATAGAGTAACACTTGTAATTAAAGAAAGAGAGCAAACTTAGTATTATAAGGTATGGGAATTATTCTATCAATGGTTAGAGAAAAAATATGAAAGCTAGATATAATTAATGGATTAGTTAAGGACAATAGATATTTTTTTAAACAGAAATAAACTTAAGAAAGAGAGATAGTTGATATTAAGTACAATAAGTATAATAAGATAAGACTAGACAACAATACTACGTAATGAATATATGGTGGTTTGACATTGAAATGAGACACAGGGAACTGTCTCTGAGAAAAATGCCAACCCTGAGAGAACTCAGGTAGCAGTATTTATTGAGAAAAAACACAAGCAAAATATACAGTATGCATATTCAGAAAACAATGACCTCAACAGGAGATTACTTCACCAGCATGAGAACACACAATCTTGGAAAGTCCCAGATGTTACCTTGCTAGGATGAGATCATACAGCCACGGAAAGTCTCATGGGAAAGTTTGGAAAGTCCCATGAGAAAGCACAACTGTGTATCTTGTACCTTGAACTTTCACCCATTTTCCTATTCCTTCTAAACTGGCAGAATCAAAACAGAATGAGGCACTCTGAGCAAAGATACTCCTACCCCCACCAAGAATGCCCACATCTTCCTAGACTTACTGCTAGTTATACAAAGGCCTTACAGAAAATGATAAAATGATCAATAGGTTATATTACCACAGAATATGACTGTAAACATTAACTGTATTGCACAAGATATTTGTAACCAGACGACACATTGTCAATTGGAAGAAGATATGTTTGTAATAAAAATAAAATAAAATTTTTAATGAAAAAAAAGAAAAGATAGCCAGATTCCATATTCTTTCCCATAAAATATTTTCCATAAACCGTCATCCAGCTTGTAAACGTATTGTACAGTCAGTCTCTTTCACCCAGAAAGTTGCGATTTTGCTACTTACCTCAAATGTTATCTCAACTTCACCTTTTTTTTTTAATTGTCTGCCAGCTCTTAAAAATCTCTAGGAATGTAGAATGGTGCCTCATATCTAATTGGATCTTGGGTCTAACAAAATTACTTCTGTCCATAGCAGCTATCTCTATCTTAATGCTTGGATGTATTGGGCTGCAACTCCCATAAATATGGTTCCTAGGAATGAATGGATTTGCACTTAAATATAATTCAAGGCAACAAAGCTAAGGTTTCCTGTTTCTACTATGGCATTGCCTCTTCAGTTATTCAGATGGGTGTCCTTCACAAGCCTAGTTATGAAGATAGCAGCACCTCCCTAGTTTGGATATTTCAGTAACAGGTTGCAGGAAGATACCCTCTCTAATCAGCCCACAAGACTGCCTTGCAATATTCTGCTGTTAGTCTTAATTTATTAGCCTTAACTTTCCTGCCCATCTTATCTTTGTTATTGAAAAGGATATTTCATATTCTTTCTGTCTGATTTATAACAGATTGTAGACTTAAATTCCTTCTTACATATCTTAGTGTAAGGAAAGTATATAAGTACACTGCAATTTTTTTTGTTTTTACGAACTAGATTGACTCTGTCTTATATTGCTGTATGCAAGATGTTCTCATTTACTGTTTAGCTAAAATAGCCCAAATACTCTACATTCCTGTTATCAATTTTCTGCATGGTGTTACTGTAGGCCCATGATGGCCAACCTATGGTACGTGTGCCACAGGTGGCACGCAGAGCCATTTGTGCGGGGGCACGTGAGCCCCAGCCAAACTTACCTGCATTGTGCATGTGTCCCAGCTGATTTTTGGCCTGTTCAAGGCTGTTTTGGCTCTCCTAGAGGCTCAAGAGAAGCCTCTGCAGCTTCGGGAGGCCACAAAATGGGCCTGTTTCTGCACTTCTAGTATTTCCAGAAGGCCCATTTTTTGGCCTCCCAAGGCTGCAGAGGCTTCCCTCGAGCCTCCAGGAGGGTGAAAATGGCCTCAAATGGGCTGAAAATCAGCTGGGAGGTGTGCGCTTGCACAGTGCAAGTAAGTGGGGGTCAGGGTGTCGCGCTTGCATGCGTAGGGGGGGCAGGGTGCATTGCATTGTGGGTGCCGGTACCCAGGCGCTTTCGGCACACCACAACAAAAAGGTTCGCCATCATTACTGTAGGCTATGTGTACTTTTAAAGCCAACTTTCCTAGACTTTGATGTACCTATTACAGGGAATAGCTCTGCAGCATTTTAGGAAGAGATCATTTATGTTGCTTTGCCTCAGGCATTTCTTCATAAAAGGTGGTGCAATTTTGCTTTGAAAACCTCCAACCGACCTGTTGGTTGGGTTGTTTATAAGAAATATAATACAGATTTTGCTTTACCTGTAGAACGAAACAGGAGCAATAAGGAGTACAGCATTCATCACTGGAAATTTGATTGAGCCTCTTGGCCTTTATACAGCATTAATCTCAGTGTGTATGCTTTCTGTTGCAGGATGCAGCGTGCACTTGAATGTATTGTTAGTTAAATTACTCTTCATTTACTTGTTAGCTACATTATATTTTCATATCTTCAAACAGTCTCTGTTTTGAAAGATAATTTTGGCTCAATTTGAATTGATCAATAGTGAAGGATTTAAATACTTTCTTACTTTAAAAATATATTTTGCCATAGGAAAAAAAAGTGTCTCCTCACAATCCTTTTTTAAGGGTGGATTTTAATGGCTAAGTCCAGCCAGTGAAGTGAAATGATTTTTTTAAACTATTCAAAAAGAAACAATGAAGTATATAGGTGGTCCTCGACTTATGACCACAATTGAGTTCAACATTTCCATTGTTAAGCAAGACACTTGTTAAGTGAGTTTTATCCCATTTTATGACCTTTCTTGTCACAGTTAAGTGAATCATTACAGTTGTAAAATTAATAACATGGTTGTTAAATGAATCTGGCTTCCCCATTGATTTTTCTTGTCAGAAGGTCACAAAAGGTGATCTCATGACCTCGGGACACTGCAGCCATTATAAATACATGCCAGTTGCCAAGCATCCAAATTTTGATCACTTGACCACAGGGATGGTGCCATGGTTGTAAGTATGAAAAATAGTCAAAAGTCACTTTTTTCAGTGCCCTTGTAATTTTGAATGGTCACTAAACGGTTGCGAGTCAAAGCCTACCTGTATATATTACTAAACTACCAACAATCAGAGGAAAAGTAAAAACAGAATTAATAATTCTTGATTTTTACCCAGACCACATTTCAAATATTGAGGAGCTCCCATCCCTCCCTCTGTTTAAGTTGACCTCGATATTCTATTGCTGCAGAATCTATTGTTTTTAAGAGCCCTGATCCCTTTTAATCTTCTGCTTAAATTCAGCAAGACTCTCCAGCCACTTTCAGACTATCCCAATGTAACTTTACTGTATTAGCACTTATTTTGCCCTTCCTGACAATTTTTTTTTCTTACTACAGGTAGTCCTTGACTTACAGCAGTTCATTTAGTGACCGTTTGAAGTTACAACGGCACTGGAAAAAGTGGCTTATGACCATTTTTCACAAACCATTGCAACATCCCCATGATCACGTGATCAAAATTCAGACACTTGGCAACTGACTTGTATTTATGATAGTTGCAGTGTCCAGGGGTCATGTGATCACCTTTTGCGAGCTTCAACA